TATAAATTAAAAAAATAGATGGTCAAAGAGAACAGGGACCTTTGAGGTTAGCCAGTCCAAACTACTTTGCAGATAAGGAAACTGAGACCAAGAGTTGAAATGGCTTTCCCGAGGTCTTGTGGACATCTATCAGTAGATTATGGAGCAGGATCTTGGTCCTAGCTTTGGCCCTTTTTCATGCCACCCTGCTAGGGTTACAGTAAAAATCCCTAGTATAGCCACAAAAATATAAAGAAACAAAACAACAACATCTCTACACGTGGAAGAGCCTCACACCAAGTCCACAGTACACACCTGGGGTAATGATTCAAAGAGGAATCCAGTGGCTAATATGACCAGCAGAATCATTAACGAGGCCAAACAACCTGCAAGCTGAATGAGAGAAGACACACGGAAGGGGCTTTTAGGAGACTTGAGTAAGAGGTGGGGCACAGGTTGGTCTTATTCTTTGGATAATCACTGTGGGAAGATCAAGAAAATATGGATCCAATGCAAGAAACTATTACACAACCCTTTACATAAACTATTACATAAACCTATAACTCCATCCCATTCCCTCTTTGCAGTTTTGGTTCTTCTTATGGCTTTTAACAGAAGCTGAAATGCTTAAATATCTTGACTGAAATGCCCTCGTCAGATAGGTTGGGAAAAGACGTTTGGTGTCAACCTGAGACCCATAAGGGTCAAAAGAGTTCAGATAAGGGTTTGTTGTTCAATATAGTAGCTACTAGCCACATGTGGCCATTTAGGTTTTACAAAATTAAAATTAAATAAAATTTAAAATTCAGGTCTTGGTTGCACTAGCCACATTTCAAGTACTCAAGAGTCATGTTGCTAGTGGCTGCCATATTGTACAGAGCATATATTAAATATTTCTATTATTGCAGACAAGTTCTATTGGATGGTGCTAGCAACCTGCCCACACTCAGTCTCAGGCTTCCATGACAACATCCCATGTCTGAACTTTGAGGTTTACTGGTAGCTGAGTGTTACATAACTTTCCAATTTAACTGGAGGCTATACCTCTTTCCTATAGATTCAGTTCCTTGTGATTCGCTTCAACCAATCATGCCTTTCTCTGATTCACTACACAGCTCACTGGAGCATGGATCTGCAGGCAGAGTAGCTTCGTTTGGGTTCAGAATAGAATCAAGAGATTAAAATTTAATTATCACCCAAATCACCAGTTCTTAGAGGCCTGTTATATACACACCTGTGTCTTCCCTCCTGTTCCCTCCTGAACAAGGCTTCGAGACAAGGAGCATGAGATTGAAAAGGTCTGGAAGAGCGAGCCAATGGAATTGCACAGTCCCAGGGCAATGAGCTCCTTTTCCACATGGAAACAAAACACAAAAGAGATAGGTTGCTCTTCAGGAAGAAAAGCATGATACCCAATTTCACACACATTTTCAGCTGTACAGGCTGTCTCTTCAATCTCCTTTCAGTTATCAGAATTTGTTTAGCATCAGTTCAAAACAGGAATTATGGCATATTTTATGGTGGTGGAAAAACACTTAAAATTTTTACTGTGTTAGAGATAAATGCTGTGCTCCCTGTCCAGGCCCCTCCTCCCAAACACACTCTCTACACAAATAATGCTTTTTTTTTTAAGAAAACCGCAGTAAAAGGGGACAGATTTTTTTGTTTTGTTTTGTTTAAGAGAAAGTTCTTGATGTATAGGACTATTGGTATCTTTTAAATGTCTGGACTATTACTCAACAAGTATATGCCAGTGTCTTCCTGGGGCAAGTGACTCCTGTTCTTAGGGCTATTTTGGGTATTTCTAGTTTGATCACTGTATCTCATATGAATGTGGAGCATCTAGTTTCTCCTTAGAAACATACAGGGTGTTAAAATAGACATTTTCATGCCAAGATTATAGCTCACGATGTTTGGATTAAATATCTTATTTGTGGCTATGTTACAAAAACAAGGCAGCAAAGAGAATACTGTGGAGTTTGAGTGATGAATCATATACCTAAAGTTTAATGAATAAAGATAAGCCTTCCTGTGGAACAAAAATGGCTCTGAAAAAATATTTTACTTCCAGGCTGTGAGCTTTAAAAATAGGGATAACATCTAAAGGAGTTTGACAAACTATTAGCTTCAGATTGGAGATTTCACCTTTCCAGGTGGACCCCTGCCCATGAGGTGAAGTAAGAGTCTGTACATCAGGGTTCTGTTTATCTAATGCTCATAAGTAATGAAAAAAATGTAGAGTTGAATAAATACATGCTTCAAATACATCCATCACCCAAGTTTTTCTACCAAGATCGATAAATTTAGTTCATGTGCTTTCCGTAACAGAGCACTATGACAGTACTGCCATGGAACATCTACAGGAAATTGATGATTTTTACCTGATTGCCGTCAACCTGATAGCCATGTTTATTTGCCAAGGTCTTGGCCATTGAGATGGTCACTGAAAATCCAACGATGGCTATGGCAATGGCATCCACGTATACGAGGTGGAAGAGGCTGGTGTCCGGATTGGCCGGAGGTAGTAGCCTGAAAAGTCAAGCTGGGTTTAACTCGGGTGTTGTGACCACTGAGAAAAAACACAGGTCTAGAGTAGAGCAATTTAGAAGGACATTATCTGCAAATAAGGTGATCAATGCTTGGATCCTTGTTTGCTCTGGTTTGGCAAAAAAGAGGGCCCTCCTTGACAGAGAGAGGTACTTTCTAAGCACAAACTGCAGAGTGTGGCTTTCTACCTGGACAGGTTATGAGCAGAGACCAGATGTTGTTTATTTATAAAAGGAGTAACCTCATACTTCATGGCACACTGATGGCAGGTGTAAGAGAACCAGGAAGAAGAGAGGGTCAGAGAAGTGCTCAGATGCCATAAGACACTCAAACCCAAGTCTTGGGGTGGGAGGGTGTTGGACAAGGGCTACCTTAGAGGAGATTTACTGTCCTTGAAACATTAGGTACACACTTCTCTCCCTTGTTATTTGATGTAACCTGTTCCCATGTTATCCTTTTAGTTGAGTTTCTAACACAGAAAAGGAACAGCAGACGATTATACACCTGGACATCCTGTGAATCTGAAAGAGCCAAAAGTGTGACTCCTGGAACCCCACAACGGGGAACCCAGCTTCTGTGGTCCATTCTTGTAGATTGGGACCCGTGTCCTAAAGAAATAGAACAGGGATTCCTTAGAATGCTATGGGGAAAGGGAATAGGGATTTTCAAAGGCATTCTGCTCCAATTCAAGGCACTGGGCTAAATAATAATCATTTAATTGACATACAATAATAATTATAATATTACCATAACAACCATTTATTAGGTGTTTCCTCTGTGCCAGGTTCTGGGCTCATTTAATTATTTCTAATAGTCTTGTGAAATAGGCATCATAATAATCTCCAGATGAGAAAAATGAGGCATAGTGAAGTTAAGTCATTTGCCCAAGGTCAAACAGTTTATCTATTAATATAACAAAACAACCAAGAACCTACCTGTCTACACCTATTTCTCTTACTATGTCATAGCACAGGGACAGACGGGATGTTTCAAGTTATTGGATAAGAAGAGGACAGGGAGAAAGAGAAAGAAACCTAACATCTATTAAGGCTAGACTATGTGTTACATGCTTTACATAAGTCATCTCACTTTTCCTCACAACACGCCTGTTGGATAGGTGCCATTATTATCCCAATTTTTAGGTGAGAAAATGGATGCCCACAGATGTTAAGTAGTTTGCCCAAGATGCAGCTGGGAGTCAAACCCAGGGGGTCTGACTATAAAGTCTGTCATCTTTCCCCTGCACTTTGCTGCACACTCATTAGCTGAGAGGGAAGACCTCACGGCAGGTTTGGGCCTGAGCAATTAGGATATAAGAAAAGGATGTATTCTGGAATAAGTTAAGCATCCAAAATCAAAAGACAGGATATATTGCATGACTGGGATCTTTAACAGTAAATTGTCACTTTCTGGGCACTGCAATGTGTATGTTTTTATGTATGTGTACAGATAAGTGTGTGTATAGTATACTATAGCGTATAATATAGAGTATAGTATAAGTATGTGTATAGATAAGTGTGGTAGTCTGCTTTCAAACACGGCCACCAACCAATCCTCATACTTGTACATGCATGCTGCTCCTCCCATCTAGATGTGAAATCTGTTTTCCTTCTGGCTAAACCTGGGCTGGCCTTGTACTGTGCTTTGACTGACAGAATGTAGTAGAAGTGAGGCTATATGAGTACCTTAAGAGGCCTGGCAAATTCTCGTGTTTCTTTGTTGTTGTCCTGAGCCACCATGTAAAGAGGTCAGGCTACCTTGCTGGAGACATCATGCTTAGAGAAGATGCCAGCCAGCCCTCAACTGTTCCAGCCACTCCAGCTGAGGTATCAGACACGTGAGGGGAGCCCTCTTGGATCCTCTGGCACCAGTCACACCTTCAAACATCTGCAGATGCATGAGAGACCCCCAAGCAAGACCAGCAGAAGACCCACACAGCTGAGCCCAAATTAGACTAAAGAATTATGAGCAAATTAATGGTTGTTGTGGGTTTTTTCTTTGTTTATTTTTGAGACAGGGTCTCGCTCTGTTGCCTGGGCTAGAGTGCAGTGGCATCATCGTAGCTAATTGCAACCTCCAACTCCTGGGCTTAGGCAATCCTTTTGATTCAGTCCCGTGAGTAGCTGGAACTACAGGCATGCACTGACATGCCAGCTAATTTTTCTATTTTTTGTTTAGACAGAGGTCTTGCTATATTGTTTAGACTAGTCTTGAATTCTTTGCCTCAAGTTATCCTCCCACCTCAGCCTCCAAAGTGTTAGGATTACAGTTGTAAGCCACTGAGCCTGGCCTAATGCTTGCTGTTTCAAGCCACTGTTTTGGGGGTGGTTTATTATATAGCAATAAGACTCACAGATAACTGAAACAGTATGATTGTACATAGATAAGTAGGTAGGTAAGTATTTGTTACCTACTTGGTTTTGGGCAAAGTTCCAGAAAGATAAGGTTTCTGGGTAGCCAAGTTCTAAAAAGGTAAAATGTTCCTTTTTCTGTTTTTTTTTTAAGTTAAGCTCTCACATATAGAAGGAAAGCAACATCTGAGTACAATGCAATAGGGAAAGGAAAGTATTAAGTAGAAATTATGGTGGCATGTGGATTTTAACCTATCAGTGTGTGTGTGTGTGTGTGTGTGTGTGTGTGTGTGTGTGTGTATTTGAATAGCTTATTACTGTTATGCAGCCTATCAGTATATTTTTAAAAGGAGTAATCGAAGTGTAAGCATTTCACATTTAATCAAATTATTTATAACTAGTAACTAAAATGGATTATCTGTTGGATCCAATCAAAGACTAATGTTTATCACATTACTAACTTTGTTAGCGACCCAGGTGTGAGGTAATGGAAAGAGCACACACCTGGGTATCAGAAGACTGAGTTCTGGGTCCAGGCTGGAACTCACCAGTGAGTCACTAAACCTCATTCACATCTCTCAAATATCACCTTCCCTGAAACCCTACTGAAAACAGAAACTCCAGTCTGTCCTATTTTTTACCTGGCTTCACTTTTTTTTCATAGTACTTCTCACTATTTATTCGTTTATTATTCAATTGTCTATCTCTATGAGGACAAGCACTGTTTTGCTTGTGTGCTTGTTTTTGTTAACTGCTGCGTCCCTGGTACATAATAGGCACTCAATAGACATGTTGAATAAATGAGAATAAATAAACTTTTCTGTAAAACAAGGATAATAATATATATTGTCAATGGGGTTATTATAAGCATCAACTGAGATAGTAAAGTATTTTATAAATTATAAGTCCAAATCTAAAAGCAAGGTGTTATTACCATGTTATAGCTTTACATTAAATCATTATAAGTAACATGTTCATCACACCCATTTATTGTTTTGGCATTTCAAAGTACAGTACCTACTTCCTCCTTCAACACTTGCTCTGGAGTGTGAACTTTGGCTTAAAGAACAACCTCTGCTCTCTCTGTGTCCCGAAGACTCTTGGATGGGACTGGAGGGCAAGGTCTAAAGGAACATGCCAGGTTCCATCCGTGTCCAACATCTGAGAAAATGTCTGACTCTGTCCTTTGTAAGAGAGAAGAGGTGAGAGATAGAGACAGAGAGACAGTATAAGAGATAGGAAGACAGAGACACACCAAGAGATACAGAGAGACAGCCAGAGAGTGATGGAGAGGGACAGTGAGGTAGTCACTCTTGTTCCTTCAAATATAAAAGGAATAATACATTTTAAAAATGTAGAGTTAGATAACATAGATGAAGAAGTAACAATGATTTGAAACTAGAAAACTCATTGACATAACAAGCCTCAGAACTTTCAGTGAACATGTCTTAAGCGCTTACTGCCTGTGCCAGGAGCTACCCTAAGTGCTTCACGCCCAGTATCTCCTGCAGGTCTCACAGCTGCCCTTTAGATAAGTATAAATTACTATGTCTGCGTGGCAGGTGAGGAAACTGAGGCTTTGAGAGGATAAGTGACCTGCCCAAGGTCACACAGCTAGTAAGTGGCAGGCTAGGATTTAGGTTTTTTTGCTTTTAATTCTTATATCACTCAAGGAGAGATTTTAAAAACTGTTTAAGAAAACAAAATAAAACAAAAAATCACTTGCCACTGTTGGTGGGACTGTAAAATGATACAACGGCTACGGAAAACAGTATAGAGGTTCCTCAAAAATTAAAAATAGATCCAGCAATTCCACTTCTGAGTATATACCCAAAATAACTGAAAGTAGGGTCTCGAAGACATATTTGCACACTTATATCCATAGCAGCACTATTTGCGATAGCCAAGAGGTGGAGGCAACCCAAATGCTCATCAATATATGAACAGAGAAATAAAATACATCACACACAAGCAATGGAATATTATTCATCCTTAAAAAAGGAAGAGAGTACTACCATATGCTACAATATAGATAAACCTTGAGGATATTATGCTAAGTGAAACAAGCCAGTTACAAAAAGGCAAATACCATATGATTCCACTGATGAGGTACCTAGAGCAGTCGTATTCATAACAGAAAGATGAATGGTAGTTACGGGGGTTGTGGGGGAGGAGGAAAGAGGAAGTTGTTGTTTAATGGACACAGAGTGTCAGATTTGCAAGATAAAAAAAGTCCTTATAATGTGAATATACTTAACACTACTGAACTGTATACTTAAAAATGGTTAAGATGGTAAATTATATGTGTTTTTTTACAATAAAAACACACAGAGACATCCCCCAAACCCCTAAAACCCTCTGCTATTTGATATGTAGAAGAAAAAAGAGATTATTTTTCATTTTAAGAATACTAAAGCAGGAGTCAGAAATAACAGGTCCATTGATTATTCAAGTCCTACCCCAGAGGAAGTGTTCCAACGACATCCACATTGTAAGATTCTTTCAAGTTGAACCCAGCTGAAATGCCAGTTCCCATGACCACCTAAAACAGACACAAATCCAAGTGCGCCTTTAGAAATGAACATTCAAATGCCACAACAATAAGCTTCAAAGACTTTGTTAGCCAAGCCAAATTTGAAAATCACATTTTTAACATTCAGATTTTAAAAGAATTATTATTGTTAGCTTCTAGCAATTCTAACTTCTCTTAATGACTCTACCTCACATAATTAAAAGGGACTCTACAGTTTCTTTTGTGGCCTGGAATTTTCTTCTTACTTTGTTCTATTCCGTGCTGAGGTGTTTGGCTAGTCGACTGCAACTAGAAAGAGGCCATAAAACCTCTCAGAAGTTGACCTTGCCTTTGGGGGAGGTGAAACGAATCTCTGGCCAAGATATTATGAATAAAGGATAGGCAAATGTGCATGTAAGTGGTGGTACAATGACAGCGTATCATTATCAAATGTATGTTTGGATTAGAATCCCCTGCTGACTCTGTTTCCAGGACGGCAGCACGAGTGTGGTCAGAGGTCTCCACCAGGGCCCCATAGTTGTCTTCTCCATTTCGGCTACAGAGTCAGGATCAGAGTGGAACCACATGTCACACACAGTGTCACTGTACATAAGGCCATCCTGGATTGTCAGGCCATAGATTTACTTGGGGTGGAAAGTGCAACCCTTAGTGAGCTACAAGAAGAAAAACATAATAGATAATAGAAGGTGACATAGCAATTTGCTTCATCGCCAGGAACTATTGTTTTTAGAGCTTTCTGAGTCGGTTATCAAGGAGAGAAGTGACAGTGGCTGGCCAGGGAAGGGCGCCAGTCTTTCACAGTGGCGGCTGCTGCAGGAAACCAATAATAAGGCAAGTGTATTTTCAGAAACAGCAGCCTAAGAGACCAAGGGCATGGGTATTTTTGGCCTCTTTGATGGAAAGACCCTTTTCTGTTTGTGGCAATTACAGTTTTCAACCTTAATTGCATTTTTTTGTGCATTTCAAATTGGCAGAGTACCTAGAATATTAAAATCCACAGGCTAAATATGGCTCAAGTTCCTGGAACCAATTATTTACCACTGCATCAATTTTATGCAGTGGTAAATATTTAAACCATTGTTTTCCTATCAACACAAACAGGTGTATTATAAAAGAGAAATTGAAAACTCAAAAAATGTTTTTATGATAGAAAAATAAATTTTATGCTTAAGAATAGTCCCCAAACTTTCCAGTATGGCTTCTCTCTCCATTCTTCTAAGGAGCACTTAGGTAAGAAATTTAAAATCACTGGTTTAAGGTATTATTGAAAGACTATAATTACAATGATAGAATTCTGAAAAAACCATTCCCCTGGGACACAGGAAGGACTCTTTAAAGGGAACCCTGGGAAACAGAATTAGTAACCCAAGGTTGGAGAGGCAATCTTCATTATTTTCTTCATAATTATAGCTTTCCTGCCTTCTTTCCCGTGCAAAGGTGCTCGGAACCTCTTGCTGTACTCCAAGTGGAAACAGGAACTCTGTGCTCAGCCCCAGTGAGAGAAGCGTTTTAAACTTGATAGTCTTTTTTTTTTTTTGCTTGTTAAAAGGTAATATTAATAATTTGAAGTAGATAGGACCAAGGCATGGAAAAGGATGGAAAGGATTGGCTTCCTTGTGAACTATACCAGCCACTTGTTTTCATAGCTGGAACGTTTTGTTAAATTTGGATCAGACACCTATACTTTATATTTTTTATCCTTGTGGCTCCCACACATGCACAAAGGAGGTGGAGGGGGACAACTACAGGGACACTTTGGATATTATAAGGTCTCTAGGGAAACAGTGACATCTGTTGGACACTGTGCAAACTTCTAGTTGGAGGTAGTTCACAGTTTGAACACCAGTTTACATTGTGTTCCCTTCAGTAATGC